GGGGAATTTGAATTTGGTCAGGGTGGGGAGACAAAGGGGTGTGTGTGGGGTGTGTCATTTGGACTTTTGTTGTAGGTTTGTTGTGGGGATTGGATGTATTATTGTGAAGGAAAATATCCCTGGGCATTTTGGTTTATAATTTGAGTGTATTGGGGAACATAACGGGGACCATGCTGGGTGTGTTTTTGGACACTTATTTTCGGCATTGTAAAATAGGAAGAAAGGGAAATTGTGGCTTGGTTTTCTTTGGATTCCTGGGAATGGATTGTGAAGTGCTGGGATTGGTTATTAATGTGGTGATGGGTTGAGGGTAAGTATGGTTAGGGTGCATGGTTTGATGATGATTTCATTCCAGAGGGGGTCATAACACTTGGACATTATTCCACTGATTTCCTTAAGGACTTGAGGGTGATTTGTGGTGCTCTGGGATATATCACTTGGTAGTCTCCTTTTTCTATGCCTATATAAGCTCATCCCTGAGCATTGTAAAGAGGCATTGTATTCCCATTTTCAATTTAGTAATACACTTGTTTGTGTGTGCTATTTTAAATTCCTATATCTATATCTTAAGAGTTGTTCTCTTGAGTGTGAGTTTTAGGTTCTAGTTATTTAGATAAGTGTGTCATATCTTATTTAAATACTAGACTCAACCCCAAGTTAAGATAAGAGTGTGTAATATCTCTTAACCCCAACTTGGTGATATCTATCCCTGATTTTTCTCCACCCCATATCCCTTCATTTCCCACACTACAATCTCCCTCCTTTTTTTCCATTAAGCCTAAAAGCACCCTATCATCCTTTCTCATAACTTCCCTACATATCCTAGCCATTTTCCTTCCATACTGAACCTCGGGTAACCTTGATAATCAATTATTCTTCACTGATTATCGACTATCCAACACCCCTGAACTTCCCTGGCAGAATCTGAAACCCCAAATAATCGATTATCAACTATTGATAATCGACTATCCTGCCCCTCTAAGTCTTCTTGGCCTGAGCTACATATCCCATAATCGATTGTTGCTATCTTGACAATCGACTATTTTCCCTTCCTGAACTCCCAAACTTCCTTCCCAAGAATCTGAACCTCTCGTTAGTCGATTACCATAAATTGATAATCGATTATTCCTCTCTCCTGCAGCTTAAGAGGGTTTGTTCCTGAACCTAAGGCCTAATCCCGGAGCTCGGGTATAACATTTGGTATCAAAGCCCATTGTTCCACATCCCGAAGGACCAAAACACTTCCCTCCACTTTACCCATTTCCTTTTCTACCACCCATTGTCTCCAAATAAACCATGTCAAATGAATCTCAACCCTTGTCGCATGAGGAGCTTGTTGCATCCAACGCCGCCTTAAAGGCCCAAGTAGAGTACTTGGCGAAGGAGGTAGCTAAGCTCACCAAGATAAAGCTCAATGCCCTTCAAGGGAGTGATCATGAGGATAATGCGAGCACCAGCAGCACCAACAAGGCCAGAACTAATGACGGGTCTGACTTCAAAGTTGATGTCCCAACTTTTGAGGGAAAAAACGACTGGGACGAGTTTCTAGAATGGCTAGAGACGGTGGAGCGTGTTTTCGATTTCAAAGAAGTCTCCGATGAGAAGAAGGTCAAGATAGTGGCCTTGAAGTTCCGCAAGTATGCATCTACTTGGTGGACTAACACGTGCACCAAAAGGAGAAGAAACCACAAGGAGCCGGTGGCCACATGGGCCAAAATGAAGTCTCTCCTAAAGAAGTTCTTGCCTGCTGAATATGTTCGTGAGAATTTTGCCAAGCTTCAAACGCTTAAGCAAGGTTCAAAATCGGTTGAAGAATACACCCATGAGTTCGAGGAACTCTTACTAAGGTGTGACTTGCAAGAAGATGATGAACAAACCTTTGTACGATACCTGTTCGGCTTAAACCTGCAAATAGCCAATACAGTAGAGTTACAAAGTTATGAGTCCCTGGAAGAGCTTACCAAATTAGCCCTTAAGGTTGAAGCACAAATAAAGAAATCCAAAGCCCTTCTCTCCAAAAGTAACCCCTCTTACACACGGCCCAACACCACTTTCCAAAAGCCAAACTATTCTCCACCCAAAGCACCTTTCAACTCCACCAAAACTCCCCCCACTGGCCACAGATCCCTTCCCTCTCCCTTACCTAAGAATCCCTCCTCCTCTCTTCCTCCTAGAAAAGACTCAACGAGGAAAGCACCCATTTGCTTTCGATGTCAAGGATGAGGTCATTATGCTAACGAGTGCCCCAACAAAAAGGTGATGGCAATCGTTGAGTGTGATGAAGAAGAATTTGATCCAACTTGGGCTGAAGAAAACATAGAAGAAATCGAAGAGAAAGATGAATGCATTGGCCCCGATGAAGAAGAGCTCCTGGTCATTCGAAGGACTTTGAGCACCATAGCATGCCCGGAAGAACAATTGCAACGGGAGAACATCTTTCACACTCGTTGCACCGTACAAAAGAAGGTGTGTTCTCTTATCATTGACAGTGGGAGTTGCACTAACGTGGCTTCCAAAACTATGGTGGACAAGCTGCACTTAAAAACATCACCGCATCCTAAGCCATACACGATTCAATGGCTGAATCATGGCAAGGGCTTACGAGTTGATACGCAGAGTCTCATTTCATTGAGCATTGGCAAAGCATACAAGGATGACGTATGGTGTGATATCATCCCTATGGATGCGTGTCACATACTCTTGGGACGACCTTGGTTATTTGATCATCATGTGCAACATGACGGTTACGCCAACACTTATTCGTTCTTGATGAACAAGAAGAAGATTACCCTAACCCCATTACCACCACCCCCCTCTTCTACGGCCAAAACTACACCAGAACAACCCCCCGTCCTTATATCCACCATCTTACAATCTGAGCAGCATGAATTTGATGGAATTAAAGATTTAATCCTGTTGGAAGATGCGGAAGCCGAACCCTTCACACCTCTCAAAACACCCCATCCCTTGGTTGAGCCAATCTTGCGAGACTATACCCAAGTATTTCCTGAAGATGTTCCCCATGGTTTACCCCCCAAACGGGACGTACAACACAAGATTGATCTCATCCCGGGGGCTGCCCTACCCAACAAGCCGGCCTATAGGATGAACCCCAAAGAAACGAAGGAGATTCAACGCCAAGTTGATGAGCTGCTAGCTAAAGGCTTCTTGAGAGAAAGCCAACCGTACGCTGTCCCGACACTTTTGGTGCCAAAGAAGAATGGAACGTGGCGTATGTGTTGCGATAGTCGGTCTCTCAACAAGATCACTATCAAGTATCGGTACCCGATTCCCTGTTTGGAAGACATGTTGGATGAGTTGCATGGCTCCAAGATCTTTTCAAAAATTGATCTTAGGAGTGGATATCATCAAATTCGAATCTTTGAAGGAGACGAGTGGAAGACAGTGTTCAAGACGAAGTTTGGGTTATACGAATGGTTGGTTATGCCATTTGGATTAACCAATGCCCCGAGCACGTTCATGCGGCTTATGAATCAAGTCTTGAAACCGTTTATAGGTCATTTTGTCGTTGTCTACTTTGATGACATTCTGATTTATAGCAAAAATGAAGAAGATCTTGCTAATCACCTCACTTTGGTGATTAAGAAGTTGGACGAGGAGAAACTCTACGGCAACCTCGAAAAGATCCAATTCTTTTCGCATGAAACTGAGTTCTTGGGATATTATATCTCAAGTGAAGGCATACGGGTGGATGAAAAGAAGACACAAGCAGTTAGAGAATGGCCGATCCCCACCAATATGCAACAAGTTCAGAGTTTTCATGGCCTTGCCTCTTTCTACTGGAGATTTGTGAAAGATTTTAACACCATCACGGCACCTATCACGGATTTGACAAAAAAATCAGAAGTTCGAGTGGAACTCCAAGGCCCAACAAGCCTTTGAAACAATCAAGGATCGATTAACACATGCCCCCGTGTTAGCCCTTCCTAGCTTTGTGAATCGTTCTCTTGATAGGACAGCCCCGATCCCAACTCCCGAGGCATTGCACTCAACCTCGAATATATATGTGTGTGTGTGTGTGTGTGTGTGTGTGTGTGTGTAGACTCCCTCCGTCCATAAATAAACTTCCCACTTTCCTTTTTTGGAAACTTTTTTATAGTGAAAAGACTTAACTACCCTCACTCTCCATTCCTTATCTTTTCTTTTTTTTCTTTCTTTTCCCAGTCAGTCAACCCACCACCATCCATTCTCTTGTGTCCTTATCCTCTTCATTCCGTCACTGTACTTCATCTTCTTCTTGCTTTTTTCTTTCTTTTCTCATTCTTCTTCTTTGCTTTCGTATTCTTCTTCTTTCTTCTTTTTTTCTTCTTCTTTTTTTTCTTTCTCCGCCTTTTAATTGTCCTGTCATCTACTGATTGGGAGCACAGAAATGGCGATCGAGGTAACGCCGGAGCAGCAAGACAATGGTTGGAGGTGACGCCGCAGTTGGATCACTTGGATCTGCTCCTCTTCCAACATAGTCTCTGCATGAATTCCATAGATCTACAAGTCCTCCATCAATTCCGTAGATCTCCACAGTTGGATCTGCTCCCAACCCCGCCTCTCGCCATTAAACTCTCGGATTCAAGATATTCAGATATTCACCCTTGCCTAGGTTGTCTTCAACGAAAACTAGATTAGATCTAAAAGGTGGGGATTACAGAAGAGCTGGGGAAAACAAGCACGCGTTAGAGAGGCCATCCATGGTGGTGACACCGGAGATCCGCTGTTGGTGGTGCCTGAGATTTGCCGTTGACGGTGCTTGAAGGTCATTGGCTGGTGGTTGCAAGGGCAGATATGATGGACGGAGGAATATGTTGGAGTGGCTCAGCATTGGAGAAGAGTTGAGGTGTGGGGGTATAATTGGAAAGTCAAGACCATTCGTATATATGTATATATAATAAATGTTATATTATTTATTTTGTGTTAATTATATGATAATTAAAGTTGACAAAATAAATTGGAAGCTTCCTTAAAGTGCCATTCGAAATTACCTAAGTTGAATAGGAATGAGATTTGATTTCCTTCCTAAACTCTAAAAGGTACATTCCTATTAGGAATAGGAATGAGAATTATGCTCCTTATAAATAGGAGATCATCCCACCCCTTTTAAACTACTAGTATTTTCGGCCCTATCATAATTTTAAGAGAGAAAAATTTGTTTTGTTCTCTTAATACTTTACACCAAATATTTTATATTTTAGAAATATAAAATAACTTATAATAATCATAAGAGGTCTTGGGTGGATCTACGTTTGGACATCAAAAATTTTGTTTTCCGCTGCCCTATCCAAGCGTAGAACCCAACAGTTTCTGGAAATCCAACCTTGGCTCAACAGCGATGTCCATATACCAACATCGTTGTTGGAAGACTTAACGCCAAACCATGGTTTTTAGCTTCCCATGCCAGACACCGCTGTTGGTCACTCCAACATCGTTGTTGGGCTGGTTTAGCCAGACCCATGGTTGGTTTAGTCATGCCGTAAGCCGATGTCAAAAATCCAAGTTCTCCAAAATAAAAACCAAGTGTTGAAAACATTTTTTTAACGCATTTTTCTAAGAAATCAAGTGAAACATCTTGAAAACCATGTCATTTAGATAAAAACCACGGCTAGCCAAGTCTACGCCGTTTCGCATGGATTTTACTAAACGAACAATAACGAGGGGTGGTTTTTGAAGCGTTTTTGTTGGAGAACTATTTAAATATGCCCAGAAGTAAAAACTAATCATAAAATATTGAAAACTACTTGGTTGGTTCGGATGCCAAAAACCAACGCCGATAACCGAATGCCGAACACCGGTTTCTGAAAACCAAATGCTGGTTTCAGAAAGCCGAACGCCGGATGGCTTGGTTTTTGCTTTGGACGAACACCAAGTGTTTTGGGCTTGTTTAAAACTTATGAAAAACATTTTTGAATATGCAAAAGAATATTTTAATGAAATGAGCCTAGAGAGCCAAGTTTAGAAGTTTGTGCTGGTCTTGATCACATTAAGACTCACTCAATTTATTTCCAAGTCTTCGTTCTTGGTTCTTGGTTCTCGATTCTCAATTCATCACGCCGTGTTCCTTCGCCTTTGATTTGCTTAGTTTAATCTTGTTATCACGGCGGTTTGGCATTATCAAAACTTGTCATAAAATGAACACAGTTTAGTACGACGTAGGCGTAAACCTGTGTTCCAACAGAATTTGCAGAATAATTTACAGACACATATATACATATATAAACGTCCACATAAATATACAGGAATATTCAAGATATGGCACATAATAAAATATGATCAAGATGGTGGTTCATGATGATAAATACATGATGAAGAGTACATGATTATGAATACGTGATGCATATTCTAAACATAGCAAGGACTCCCTTGCACTCTAATATTGCTCATTTTGTACGATGACTTAAGAAGCACCTTAGTCTCACAAATGAGGCAAGAACCAGATGAGGGTGGTATCCGAAATCTGAATACCATGTACATATACTATGCCAAACTTGTGACATCAGAATGATATGTCCCCCACGGTCACGCTATAAGAGGAAGACGTGGAAATCACCTCTTAGGCATGCAAGATGATATGATACGCTTTCAATATGGATGAATGAATGAAGCATATGGGTATGAACAATTTTAATCAATATGAATATATAACCATCCATGAATTCACTGCATTTAAAGAATATTCGAGTGTCAATTTCATATATCACATGTTGCACAAATTATGTTGGGTTGGCTACTAGGTTCGTAAAGGTCGACCATTTGGCACGACGGGTGACCGTGTTGATGGTTTTAAATTCCTAGACTGCCACCGTACAGTCGACCCTAACCTCACGGTGGTTGACCGTCATGAGATACCTGTAGGGGATGCACTATTCAACGTACTGTAGATTTAATTCTTCCAAGTGGGACTGTGACGATTGATCGTTGGTCAACGGTGGTCGATTGTTCGTTTGACAGTTATGGCACACCGGAGAAAGGTCAACGATGGTCGACCGTTTGTGACTGCGAATTATATTTTTGTTACTTTAAGTCTCTTAAATACTTTCTTAAGTCATTTAAAAATTTTGATTGTTATACATACATACATACATATACATACATACATACATACATATGTGTGTGTGTGTGTGTATGTATATATATGTATGTATATATATATATATATATATGTATGTATGTATGTATGTATGTATGTATGTATGTATGTATGTATATATATATATATATATGTATGTATGTATGTATGTATGTATGTATGTATATATTATAAGGTGAAATTTTATTCATAATCAAGAATGAAGGTAAGGTACAATGGGATCCAAGGAGATGATGCATGAATAAAAGGAGTGACCCAAAGTAGGTACATGGTGCGCTGCTTGGTTTGAGTCTCTATGTACGTGCGTTAGTCTGTGGTTGCGGGTCTGCATAGCTTCCCGGATTAAGTTTAGACCTGGTGTGCTTTCTGTTGAAAGAACATCGTTGGTATGGGACTCGCAGTCTGTTTCAATAAGCATGTGTGGCGCCGTATAGATGGGGATGGCTTGGCATAAGGCAAGGAGTTTCGCCACTTTTGTTGTAACGTTTGGGAGGGGGGATGAGATGGTGTGGACGAAGTTGCCATTCCAATCCCTAAGGATTTCCCTCCGGCACATTCATGTCCTCTCTTGCTTCCATCAATGTTGAGTTTGTAGTATCCCATGAGTAGAGGAGGCCATTGGATGAGATGAGGCTTCCTATTTTTAAGAGTTGATGTCGAGCACATAGAAAGCTCTGTTTTGGTATTTCTAATACCTTTGTTTGGGGTGAATGGATTGCCTTCATGCGTGAAGCTATTGTAGGCCTTCCAAACGTTCTAGAGTATTATACTTGGTGCTACTAGTTTGAGAGGGTTTTTAGGGCTTCATTGGATAGATGCCACATGTTATAGGAGGCATGTTGAGACTTATCCCAAAATGGTTCCAAATTTGGGAGGTCACCGGGCATAGCATGAGAACATGGCCTGCTTCCTCATTGTTTCCTTGACAAAGTGGGATTTTGAGGGTTGTAGGAAGTATCCAAAGCGAGTGAGGGTGTTTTGGAAGGGGAGTATTCTATGGAGTGCTTTCCACATAAGGATGAATGCTTTTGGAATTTGGTTTTTGACCCAGGGTATGGAGGACATCATGGAAGGTGAGTCTGAGAGCCTTAGAGAATTGTAAGCTGATCTTAAAGTGAAGACACCTTTGTCTCCCGGATCCCAAATGAGACGGCCAGGTAGTATGTGGAATTTTCCTCACAAAAGTTTGTAATTTACACCACCCTCCTCCATGTTGGTGAGTCCCTTTGTTGAAGTGAAGTGGCTCGGAGATTGACATAGGAGTCTGTCATGTAATGGTGCCAAAGGGACGTTCAGTTGTTAAGTTTCCACCATAGTTTGCATGCAAAGGCATCTTGGAGGGTGGTGATGTTTTGCAAGTCCAGCCCCCGGCCCCTTCATCTTTTGGCATGCATTTTTTTTCTAATTAATCCAATGGTGTCTGTCCTTACGCCAAAAGAATGAGGAGAATTTGGAGTTGATGTTACTAATGATGCTCTTGAGAAGAGAGGTAACTGCAAGTTGATGGTGAAGAAAACTCCCTAGGACATGGCGGATGAGAATTACACGTCCAGCTTGGGATAAGGAATGTTGCTTCCATGATGGTTTCTCATCAATTCTATTAATTGTTTCTGAACAGTAAGCCTTACGATTGATTCTATTGAAAAGTTGTGTGCCTAGGTATGTACAAGGGAGTCTACCTAGCCTCATTCCAAGAGTTGCAGCCTGTCTTCTTGAGTAAGCATATTAAAGCATCGAACATCCACATAAATTGAATCTCAATTCATAATCAACCATTTGATATCATGCACATAATGTTCAGTTCAAATATTCATTTCAACATTCATCATTCCATATTCAACATTCGTATTCAACAATATCCTTAAACTATTCTTAGTCTAAGGCCAATTCAATTCTTAAACTAATTCTAGTTTAAGACATTCTTAACTAACCCTTAAGCTAAGCCTAGTTTAAGATATACATATTTTAACAGGTTTTCAAGTTTGGTTCTTGGAGGTACTCAAGTTTGGTTCTTGGATCCCGTACGTACGTTTCTAATCTATCTTAGAGGTCTTCTAGATAGTATTAGAAAATAAAATCAGTATGGATATATCTTATATTTCTTCTAGATATCCTCAATAGTTCATCATCAATTTCCAAATGGGTATATCCTAGAGTTCTTCTAGATATCCTTAACAATAAAATTCATCAATCCATATTCTTAGTTCAACAATTCATAATCGTCATTCCATCCAGAATATTCATCTTCATCAATCCATAATATTCATCATAATCAACAATCAACCAATCATCATAATATCCAATAACAAATAACGGCCTAGCGTCGAGTGTTAACACCCTCGCTTACCGTCAAGCATCACGTAAGGTTGTCTTAAGTCAAACCCTCATTTTTATTCCTAGAAATCCTCTTTATATTAATCATGATTGATTGGTATCAAAAATAGAATTTCATTAGTTCAAAAATCAAGTTTTCTGATCACTAACCAATTATTATATGTTAGGGAAATCGATTAATAGTTACTGACTTCATTTTTTTTACAGAGTTGGGAGAAAATCGATTATCATAGGTGATAATCTATTATCCCAATTTCAAAATGTGGTGATAGTCGATTATCATGTTCTAATAATCGATTATCTGCATTATATTTCATTTTCAGAATAGGTCAATAATCGATTGTCAGATTGTGACAATTGATTGTTGTACTGTTGTCATGTGTTCAAAAATCTGCAGAACAAGCCGTAATCGATTATCCATCGTCTTCTACCTCGAGCCATCTTTCGGACATGTCATTTTTAATCACCAAACTTCAATTAAAGTATATAAAAATGTTCCCCAAGGTTCAAAGATCATTTTGACATCATTAATTCATAATTTTAACATCATATTCATGGTTCATGATTTTTAGTTCTTCAAGCATGTCAAACACAAAACTCAAGCAAATGACCATTTATGAACGTAGAAATGACCAATATGAACATTCTAGTCATTAAATATATATCTACAGGCTTACCTCAAAGCTTAACGAAGGTTTTGAGAATTTTCTGGCAAAACTTCCGGTGAGGATTATGGCTAGCTCCGGCGACCTTTCAACAAATTGACATCATTATTCCACACTTAGAGGAACAAATTAGGAGGAAGAATTTCATTAATTGGTGGAGAAATGAGAGATTAGCTCTCCCTCCTTATATAGGAAAATGAAGAAGAAGCAGACAGGTATGCTACGTAGGAATTGATCTTCAATCGGCAGTGTTGAAACACAGGTGTATCACGTTTTCGTACTAAAGCCGTTTTTGTTTTTATGACAGGTTTTGATAATGCCAAACTGTCGCAATCAAGACAAAGTGTTGAATATACAAGACGAGAAACAAAGATAAGAACAAGAGCTAAAAGAAGACCAAGAACGAAGACCGTAGTGTTTAGTGTTGTTGATTTTCGGAAACCGGCGTTCAGTTTTCAGAAACTGGCGTTCGGCATTCGGTTATCGGCATTGGTTTTTGGCTTCCGAACCAACCAAGTAGTTTTCAACATTTTATGATTGGGTTTTACTTCTAGGCACTCTTAAATAGTTCTCCAACAAAAACACTTCAAAAACAACCTCTCGTTTTTGGTCATTTGGCAAAAACCATGTGAAACGGAATAAACTTGGCTAGCCGTGGTTTTTACCTTAATGAAGTGGTTTTTAAGTTTTTATACTTGGTTTCTACATAAAATACACTAAATAAGTGTTTTAAATACTTAGTTTTTACTTTGGAGAATTTTGCATTTTTCGGTCGGGTTTTAGCGCCGGTCAGCTAGGCCTACCCAGCGATGGTAGATATCACCCATCCATGGGTAAGTGATCCCGGGATTCCAGAATCATGCCACCCAGCGATGGGAGATATTACCCATCGATGGGTAAGCAGCCTTCAGCCCAACTGATTTCCAGAACCATGCCAAACAGCGATGGGAAGTTCTACCCATTGATGTTCAAGCCTTGGTCCAACATTATCACAAGACAGAATATAATGCCCTTACCCAGCGATGGGAACCTAGCGATGGGAGGGCATACCCATCGCTGGTTAGGCATGACCGGTGTGAGTCATTTAAGGCTGATTCTTTCCTTATTTGAAAGTCAACCTCCCACCCAGCGATGGGAAGCATTTACCCATCGATGGGAACTTTCAAAACTGAAGGAAAATTGGCTTACCAGCGATGGGTAGGTCCATACATCGCTGGGAAAGCCAATATCCTGCAGATCCACATTTTAATCAATCCCATAAATCAAGCCAATCACCCCTTTAATCCTTTGATCCGTTGGAGCCTATTTTTGCACTATAAAAAGGGGTGTTTAAGTCTGCTTTACACACCAATTCACTTCACATTACACATATCATCATTGCATCCAAACAACATTATTTTCCATAGCTTTCTAGAGCCAATTTATGAAGTTTGAGTTGTTCTTGAGCGTATTGTTGTATTTAGGTGCCCTAGCGGCAATCAAATACCTATGTAACTGTACACTTTATCATGAATGAAAGGCCTTGAAGTATGTTTTATATCTCGTGTAACATAACATAGCTTCAGTCCATAGACGATAGCGCTTCAGTAACATAGATGAGGACTACGATGTTCTGATTATGAGACTGTTACTTCTTGACGAAGGCTATGTCTAGAATATCCCTAGTCGCACTTTATGATAATACGGACGTCATAACGTATCAAGACTAGTACGTACGAGATGAGATAGTTGCGTCTCATAGACTATAGGTATTGTGATATCTTAATCTGTACGTAGGTGCATATTATATCGATAATATGTGACTGGATTGACCCATCTTGAGAATACTGCATGGATCTACAGTAATGTGTTTATCAGTATTCTCAAATCGACCATGCTATAACTATCCTCAGACTTGAAGCTATTACATTCTCTGATATGTGGGGCCGTATGTTTTGATTCATAACTAATGCTATCTGAAATACTGGTAGACGTACAGTTATGCGTTGGGTATGCCGCTAAGCATATTTAGAGATGTGAATAATAGATACAGGATCTGTCCCTTCTACTGTATAGAAGTACAATGTCAATGGGCCCACTGAATAGTAGGACTTGGGAAAGTGCATGGCCATGCCCAGATAAATATCTGATCCCTGCCAGTCTACTTGAGATTCAGTAACAGCTGATTTAACTATACAAGGATACACAT